TTTAAATGATAATAATAGTTTATTTTATTTTCCCGAGAAAGTCTCGCAGAGTCTCAACACTCTACCACGAGTCTCCCACATTGAGAGGTTTCACTAACTCCGTTTATATCTGTGGTGGGTGGAAACCAGAGTAGCCAGAAAAAAATTCACGCGTATATGTGGATAAATCTCAAAAATCCACACAGATGGGTTCATGAACCCACTTCCTGTCCTGGTGTCACCTGAGCACTTTACAGCCCAGCAGGTTTTTGAGTATCATAGTACTCTGCGTGATCCACCAAACGTGACCTCCAAAGAGCTAGATCACGAACATGCACCACCACATCCAAGTTTCGTTTCCTCTTGTCGATGGTTTCTTGTTCTGTTATTGTTCTTTGAGTTTGAAATGTCTTATTAAATGTTATTGGTATTATCATGCAGACATCATTTACATCATTAGGACCGTGCAGATCTCGGAGAGAGGGAAAGGCAAGTGGGCGATTTGTTTGATCACGTAATTAAAAACAATTTTACGGAGGGGGTAAATGGCACTATCGATAGCGAGAGTGATAAATGAATATCTATATATTTACACTTGTAATAAATAAAGGGTTCCCTCGAGGCGGTAAGGATTTGGCCTCCATTCTTTAGCGTCTCAGCTCTGCCTCGCTCAGGCACGCTCTGGCTCGCGAGCGGTATCCATTCCAGGAATCGATGTGGCCAAAACCAATTTAGTCGATTCCTCGTTGGTATTTCGGTGACCCTATACACGAGAGGTGCACCTGGGGGGTGAAAAAAGACCTGCCTATTTTGTTCCCCTCACCACTCCGAAAGGTTTAGACCGCTGTTGTACGTCGCAAGAGCAACGTTGGCGGCGTTTGTCTAAATCTTAATGTTGTAAGTAAATATTTAGCAATAATGTTCTATTCCTTTCATATACGTTTGATGTGAGGGATGCTCATAATTGTTAAATAAAATGTGGGCATGGGTTAGAGATAGCCAAATTGAATGCAACACGTAAGAATAGAAATCGGTAATGGGTGTTTTATCTGAAATAAAAAACAACTGCTTTGAAAACGAATTTCTGATCTGGTACTCTTGGAAGGGAAACATTTTCTCCCATGGCAATGTTTAGCCAGGAATGCCACAGCCCTGTGGGTGAAGACATTCTGAATTGCCCAAAATGGCCTTCAGTTCCGTAACAGAAGATGTTTTTCCATGAAATATTTATATTTTAAAGGCGTCGGTGATTCCCACCCAATTTAACCTCGGTTTCAGCAATGGCTGGATCACCGTACAGAACCAGCATGACTGTCGATGTGGAGTCAGCTGTGTCCCACTGTTAACCACTGCTCTGAATTGTTCAGTTATAACTGAAAGTTTACGTTCCTGCTCAAGCCTCAATCTTGTTTGCGCGGTCACAAATTGATTAATTCACTCGGGAATCTGTGTCATTCATTGTATTTCTTTAATGTTAATTGGGAACCGTTTTCATTGCATAATGATAACGAATTAAAACTCTTTGTCAGAACACTGCTGGATGAAGCCCCCCTCCCCACCCATCCATATCATGGAAGTTATTGTATGGGTGCCGCTATGGTCAGATGTTATCTCCCTCGCCTGGTATGCAGGAGATCGTGGGTACGATCTCGACCCTGACGCCTGTATATTTGGAGTTTGTATGTTCTCCCCGTGGTCTTGTATATTTTTCTCCTTACCCTCAGGTTTTTCCCTCCACATTTAGAAACATGCCTTTATATTATTTTGCCGCTATAAATTTCCCCATGATAAGCCACTTCTTTGAGCTATCATTTGTGGCCAGGTCACTTGGGACAAAGAACTACTAGATTAGTGGGCTTTGCCTGGTAAAATAAAAATAATAGTTCAATAGTCATCAGGGTTATTTGATGATACTTCACACTATTCACTTGCACTTTCGTCGAAACAAAACTATTTTGGAAATTTACCCATTGAAGGCCGAACTGTAAATAATCAACATTTTACCAATTGCAGGTTTAAAATAGGCGAATAGTATGAGGATTACGATGAAGATATTTTTTATTAGTAAAATATAGTTTTGGAGAAAAAAAATAAAACATTTGTTATCCCATAGTTAATGCACACATTGTGAAAACCCCCCAAAAAGTAGTTGTTTTTTTAGTTTTTTCAAAATGCTGTGGACTGGCTCAGTTCTCCAGGGACACTAATGAGGGTATTCGCTATTCTGCGTTTCTCCACGTTTTTTTTTGTTTCATTCCACGCGCTCTTTTGTTTGAAAGAAAAAAAAAACCCATCTTGTGAATTATTTGACCGCAATGGGTACGAGTCACAGCTCATCAAGTTGGCGCGATCCTTATTTAAATTTCTCCCCTTTTCCAAAAAACGAGTCCGGAGTAGTAAATAAATAGAAAATAATAGGGCAGTCGTGACGGGCGAGCGGAAGAGCGACGAGTGGGGACAGCGAGTCGACGCTATAATGGCCTGCGCCGGCTAATGCATCAATGGGTGGAGCGTCCCAACATTTTTGTCGACCCTCTGTACGTGCGGCGTGTGCGCGGTGTGCGCGGCTCAAAGCGCAAAACGTGCCGTTAAATCGCGCTGACAGCATGACACACATAATGACAGACGTTAACTTGCTCGTATTGATCTTCCCTCACTTTGACGGCGAACACATAACAAGGCGTTTTTTGATGAGATTACAAGGTGTGGGGGGGGGCAGGGGGAGGGTGTGGTAGAGGGGTGGGGGGGGTGCGGGAGAGGGGGCCGTGGGGGCATGGGGGGGGGGGCACAGCAATCGCGCGTTCACGCTTGTTCTTTGTGACATCTCTCTGTCTCTCGCTATATATATTTTTTGTTACAAATTTTCCTCCGTTTCTCTCCCACTGAGGCGGCCCCCCCCCTACCTCCTGCTCCCTCGCCATCCCAATCCTACCCCATCCCTCGGGCTCCTCCGTCAGTTCTCGCATCTTTTCTTCTCGCGGCATGACCAAAGGTGAGGCTGGGAAATTTGCCTGCGATGGACTGCTTAACAAACATTTATGTTGGAAGCAGGGCTGAGGCAGGAGGCAATTACACGACATGCGATCTTTGATTCTCCGTGGTGGGTGTCGGCATACCGATTTGCTTTGTGGACATTTTATATTTGATCATTTCCTGGTTTTGGGTTATTTGTGCTGGGGGGTTGGTTGGAGGAGGGGTTGTGGATATGGAGGAGAGTTTTATTTATTTTATTCCTTGTGCCTTGTTTTTAATTATTTCCTCAAATCGAAGCCGCTACCAAGGCATTTTGTAAAACGCTGTTATTTGTAATGAAACAGCGGGCCAGGGGCATGTACCTTTCTCTCCGCTAAAAAAAAAAAAAAAGGACTGAGAAAATTAACGAAGGAGCGGAGGCTAATCGAGTTGAAAATTTCACGCATTACGCACGCGGGTGCGGCGCGTGTTTTGGCCATGGTCGGACGGGGGCATAAATAAAACAACGGGCGGAGGTAATGGACCAGGGTTGGTGGAGCGCACGGGGGCCCTGACATTTAAGCAACAGCGTTTTAATTTGTTGCTTCGTTTGGCGGCACGGGCGCCGAGGTCAGCGCGGGTCTGACCTGCTCCCCCCCCCCCCTTGCCCCCGCCTCCCACTACCCCGCATCCTCCCACACCGATGCGTGGCCGTTTATTAAACACCGAGCAGCGGGTCAGCGAGGAAAAGGGCAGCACAGTAGCAGTCGTGCCGTTTGCCAACCGAATTCCTACCACCTGCCGGCAAGGTGTGAGAAGATATAGCACGAGTTCTTTTTGTATACGTGTAGAAATTTCATGTTTGTGATAAAGTGGGGTTTTTAGAGGCATCCGTGGGTAGGTTTTTTTTACTCTCATTGGAGGAAATATAAATAGGTAAATTTGCCATTTCATATTTGTAATTTTTTGGTATTTATTTGTTGGGCAATGTCATAATCTTATTCGCTAACAATATGGTTTTCCATGCCGAGCGATGCGACTGATTGTCGGCATTGTCGTCAGCGAGCAGGGACACGCGTCAAACCTCCATCTCAACTTTGGTGAAAAGGCAGCGGGCAGTATTTTGTCCCTAATTAACACGTTTTCGCAATATTTTATTTTTACTGCGGCAATTCTTTTTTTTACCTCTCGTAAAAAGATGCTGAATTTCAAAGGTGGGTTTTGATCACCTTTGACACCGGCAGTCGATGCTAAACAAGGAGAGAGAAGCGGCGAACGGGGGGGGGGGGGGGTCAGAGCCGCCCTTTGATTGCACGACGAAAGCCCCCCGTTTAGATTCGCCGTGCTGTGTGTGTGTGTTTTTTTAACGTGTGTCCGTGCCGCGGTCCAGCCTCCGATAACCTCGCGTGGTCTCTTCCTGTGTTAAGTGGCGAGCCACGAGCACCGCTCCTCTTTTGATTACGCCGTAGGGTTCATCTCTCGGGCGCCGTGAGTCTCTGGAGAAAATGCTTGGCTTGTTTATTTATTTACTTATTTTGGCCCCTTTAGCCCCGGTTTTTTGTCCTCCCCCTTGACTTTCAAGATCAGTTGTACTTGCTCACACTGCCCCAATTCCATCCCCTCCTTCCCCCGATGTGATAAATAATTAAATGGAAAATAAATGGAGTAAACTGAATTTGTTATGTTGTGTGCCTCAGATATATTTAATACATTAAATGTAGGCACCCACATATTCTTCAATTAGTAGCATTCTTGTCACCTGTGTTCTGTACACATACGCTGTTGGCCAACCTCTGACACTGCTGGAATGGCATTTTTACACTATCACTTATTACACTGAATGCAAACATAATATAATTCGTGACGTGCATCATTTTCGTGTGTGGATTTTCTGAAGATACGTTCGTGACACACGACGGTGGGCACAATAAGTGGCCACCAGTGATGTGGCAGTGTTTTTTGTTTGGTGTATATTTATTTGTTTTGTTTAATAATATTTTAAGGCTTGTTTTAATACTGCATCTCCCATCCCCCAACCCCCCCCCCCCCCCACCACCCCACTATTGCAGATCCAGAAGAGACGTTTGAGTTTGTGCTGGTGTCGCTGTCGGGACAAACTTGGCACTTTGAGGCCCCCAGCTGGGAGGAGCGAGACGCCTGGGTTCAGGCCATCGAGGGCCGCATCCTCGCCAGCCTGCAGTCCTGCGACAGCCGCAAGACGAAGGTCAGGCCCGAAACGATGAGACCATTCGAGCAGACGATGCCTTGCTCAGCAATGCCTATCTTACTTCCATTGGTATCGTTTGTCCCCAGGTCTCCCTCGCTGCGGGGAGGGACGCGTCACCTTAATTTGTCCACGCGGGTGGCACTGACTTGAATCGTAATCAGAAGGTTGAGAGTTCAAATCCAGGTTGGGGGTCGTCTCGCACGATTATGTCTCGGAGGTCGTGAAAATGTGCTCGTTTGAGATGGCCGGCTGGCTCAGGAGTCACAGCACTGAATCGGCACCGTTGAGATTCTGGGTTCGAGTCTGGGTTTTCAGTCGCCTGTGATTAAACGATGTTCTCAGCTGTACTGATCTGATAATCTCAGCTTGGTCACCGATGACTGCATATAAAAAAAAAAGTTTAAGTTTTTCACTGAAGTTGACAAACAAAGCCCAAAATCAGTTTGACTACGATCATTTGAACGTGTCTGTTGAAAGAAAGTGTCACGTCCTTAATATGGATAAAGAAGTCAATGGAAGGAACCTCGGGAGTAGTTTAGAAACATGCGTTTAGAGTATTTGGCTGCTATAAATTTCCACGTGATAAGCCATTGCGTTGAGCTATCATTTGTAGCCAAGTCGCTTCCGAGTAAACATCTATCTAGCCCAGTGGGCCTTACCTGGCAAAATAAAAAGTTTAGTTTAGTTCTGATATCGTTCTCTACGAGAGTTCTGAAAGGATGCTTTGTCTCATGGCACGACACCGAGAGCGCAATTGGGGAGAAATACTACATTATAAATAGAGTACCTTTTGTGCAAAGTGAACAGTGGCTGTCCCATGGAGAGACTGGTTCTCACAAAGGAATGTGGAATTTCCACCGCTGAATTAGGACATCCGGTGGTGGTAAGCACTACCGCATGCCCATTTGAGCACGGAGAGGCTTCTTGTTTTAAATAAAGGATATCAATCCTGTTTTAAAGGATCGGTGGTTTTTAACCTTTTCAGGCACCGACCATAAATCACCGAGAGACTTCAGAGTGTGGTGACCATGAAAACTGAAAACTCGCCGCACGTTTAGCACCGAGCACAGTTACGTCGGCCCGCAATGTTGTGAATCCCTGCTCCAGAACCTCACGGAAGTTGCTTCCAACTCCACGCATCGCCTAGCTCGGCCACGGTTCAGGGTGCCGTGCCACTCGGCTCAAAAACAGATTCTCGGTAGGTCACCATCGGTCAGCCTCGGGGTTATGCTCGGCTTTACAATCCACGGCGTGAACACTTTTACTCGAATTACCCTCGCGGGCTCGGTATAAATGAGCCGTTCGAAAGTACAGCCACTCCTGGCACACCGTACGTCACCTGACCACGACGCTGCACCTGCGAGCGGATTGAACGTCAAACGCTAGGGTCGGTAGGGGAGGGGTGGTGGCCACCACTGCTGCTACATTGTGCTGTCTCTTGTTCACTGATTAGTGGTACCCCTTTTGACAGATCGATTTCATGCCACGGGGTCGTGTCATGCTCGATGTACCGAGTATTTGCCGTCCCGCGGGGACACGGGCGGTGGCGTAGCAATGCCGCTGCGAGCGCCGCCAACTTCCGGGTAGATGTCACCGGGATTCATTGGTAGATAACAACTTAGATAACAACATAACCACGCCGCATTAATACGGCGCCTTTCCAGACCAATGCATCACGAAGTTCTTAACAATACAATTGTAATGTATAGAAACTGTAAAATAAGACACATTGGAGATGAAATCAACAAATATAAACACATGTCATTGCTCATAGAGTGCACGTTAGTAAAAATCTTATTGAAGATGTATATATTTGGGCGTGATTTACAAATGGACCCTCAACCGAGGGCAGTGAGTCTTTCCAAAAGTCAGGAGCGGCGTATGGATATGCGTTTTTAACTGCAGATGTCTGAATGGTCAAGCGTGTGAACGAAGTGAATGACTTGCGACGTGGAAACAGTAGTTCAGTCAGGTAAGAGTTAAACGCGGACCCTTCGAATCCAGCGAACTGGGATCTAAGGTAGTGAGGCCAGATCTCCGATTGCAGGGAATGAATCTGGTTTGAATGGCATTTGTCGGCCCTGTCTCTTGGCTCTTGAAGGATGGGCAATTTTTTCAATAATTTGTCCATTCGTCGATTCTTGCAGACGCGTCTGGGGAGCCAAGGCAGCGCGGTGGCAGCGCAGAACATCCGCGACGTGCAAGGGAACGACGTCTGCATCGACTGCGGTGCCCCCAGTGAGTGACGCCTGACCCCCGCACGGAATATTTGCTCGACTCTTACGAGCACAGTGATGTGCTGTGTTATCAAGAGGCCGGCAAGCGTTCATCCTGCCAGCGAAGTCGATGAATAGTCACGATTGTAAGCCGCAGTTCAAGAATCGCTTAAAGGTAAATTTTGTGTCGTCTTTACCACATCATTGCGGATGTTTTTCAAATGTTATTCCTCTTTTATACAGTTTTGTTTGCTGCAATAACCAAAATATAACAGCATGAATTTTGCATTTCTCACAAACAACTGATCCCCGCACGCAAGATTTTGGCGCATAAATACTGAAAGTACGAATCGATTATAATAAATTAATCTCTGCATTGTGACGTGCCTACTTACTAGTGCTGTTTCATCGCAGCTATCATTCATGTCAGGAGTCAACTTAGAGCATTGTTTCTCTGGGTTGATAAAATAAGTCCTGATTTGTGGAGAGTCAGGAGCTATTGTCCTGTTGTTAAGTACATGAATACATCTATATGCTAAATAGCAAAATGAATCACTTGCCAGTGTAGATTTATAGCCGGAATACTCGTTTTGGTTGATCATTCTAAGTTTAAACTCTTTCCCCCTTTATAAATTCCCTTCTTTTTTTGTGCTCTACCCTTAGTTCCAAACGTTCATTTGGTCCAAATGAGAAAATGCATTTCGGTGAAAACTTCTCGAGTGTAAATTGCATAGTTTTTTGCGAGGGTCTTGTTTTATACACAGTTGTGTTCGGCCGCTCAAATGGTGGGTTTTTGCCGGCCTCTGTAATGGTTTCATGTTGAACAAAACTAAAATTAACAGCCACCGTATTTCTGCCTACAGCGATCCGCAGCGCAAGGCATCGCCTGCTTTGCCCCTTCCAGACCGTTTTCAAATCGCTGTGTTTCGTAGCCCGCTGTGTGCTGGCGTGGAATGAAGTGGTTTAGTTTGGTGAATTCACGTGCAGCTGTGCACTATCGCAATTTAATAGACCATCTCCCCGTTGAAACGGAGGACATTTTCCATCAAGAGGAGCCCTTTTTGTGATTTGACTTTTTGTTCAGCCGCCTTAATAACGGCACGGAGAGATGTTCATAGGAACATGTCTTGCTTTCATTGAAAGCAACATTTTTTTTTTATTTCGCCAAAATTGTTCCTGTGATACAATTTTTGCTTTCTTTTAAGCCTTTACCTTCTTTGTTATATTTGAGACAAAATAAAAGCGGAGTGTAAAAAAACACCCAAAAAAAACTAAAGCCAGCCGGCAGTGTTTTTAATTTAAACTTTTAAAACGGAACATTTGAAATAAAATAGCACGGTTAAGTTTTTGTTTTAGTTGTTCCCCCCCCCCCCCCCCCCCCCCACTCGATGCACGCGTGCGTTGGGTCTGGCGGTCTGCACGGCTGCGTAAAAAGGTCATCGCGACTGCGCGCGTGCGTTCCCCCGGCTGCGCGTGGCGTCGCGGCCAATACCGCAACTGCCGCCACAATTTCATGCACCGAATGCTTACATCATTACTTATTTTTTGGGTGAAGGTTGAGGGGTCTCGACCCACCTTTAAATTGGGCCCTTGTACATTAAACGTGTCGCGCTATATTGCCACAAATGTTACCGCCACAATATGGGTTTGTGTCAACCGTGGCCGACAAAAATGAATGAATATCCACTCATATTACAAAAGGTCTGAATGAGTGGAGCCGTTTTTGAAAGTGGATTTTTCAATTTCACTCCATGATCTGTAAGCGGGAAGTGAAGTGGTTGGCCCTCAATTCCAGAAACCAAAAAAGTTTTATGCACACGTTGCAGTAAAACAAAAATAACTTTTGGTTTTTATAAATATTGTTTAGCCTGTTTTGACTTTAATTTTATGGTTCTTGAATAAAATAAAATCGTGGTTTTCATTCCAAGCAACTTGGGAGTTTGTATCGGCGTGATGGCCTTTTCATGGCTTAAATCCAACTTTCCCCAAATATGTTGCTTGAGAAATGGAAGGCTTTCAATTCCAATGATCTATGCAGCCTTTCACTCTTAGCGCAAGCTCCTGTTTAAGGAATCACTCTTGTCAGTCACCGGGAAGGGTTCATCTGTTTCCGTGTTTATTGTAAAGGGCTTCTGTGTTGTAATTTTTTGCGGATGTGTTTATTCTGGCATTATCCAATTTAGCTGTCGGTCTTGCAGCGCTACGGTTGATAATACTCACGGGAGACTCAGTCTTCGCTGGGCGCATTCAGTTTGACCCAGAGGTGGGAAACCTTTTCTTTAGCCAGGGAATATTGGGAATTTGATACACTTTTTTACGGACAATGCATTAACACGCACCTTAGCATTTTCAAATATTAACGTGAAAAATAACAATGGCTCACCTCTACCGCACGTACGCGATGCATGCATCTGATTTCCTCTCACTAGCATTGTTGATGTCAATTCACAGTTCTGAAGGAGGCACGCAGCAAAGATGCTTGCGGTGATGGCTGAACTCAATTGTTGGGCCTTTCGAAGTGATAGGCCACATCCAGCCTGATTTTTGTTCCATCAGATATGACACCATTAAATGTGTTGCTTACACCCAGGGGTATTACCAACTGATTGTTTATGCCACCTTATCTTAGCTCTACAATGTACATCGCAACAATGATATTTTAAATGTCTATGTATTAATTTGACCACTTTCAGTTAACCATGTTAACCACGTTCAGTTACCCATTTACAAATGTTCATTGTCAATTATTGCAATTTCATCAGACACATTCGACTTGTTGTCCACATTATTTATGGTACTTAAATTAATTTATTTATAAATTCACCCCTCAAAGAACACAATCAAATGAAGCGTTTTTGTTCCATCTTACGTTTAAAATTTGCTGGTAACTCTCACCCCCTCTCCCCGTATGTCCACCCCTTTAGACCCCGACTGGGCGAGCCTCAACCTGGGCGCCCTCATCTGCATCGAATGCTCGGGCATCCACCGCAACCTGGGCTCGCACGTATCGCGCGTGCGCTCGCTCGACCTGGACGAGTGGCCCGACGAGCTGGCGCAGGTCATGGTGTCGGTGGGGAACGCCATGTCGCGCGGCGTGTGGGAGGGCTCCCTCGCCGGACATGCCAAGCCAGGCCCGCACAGCTCCCGGTGAGCTTCGCCGCGCCGGTTTTTCTCGCTCGCTCGCGCGCTGGACGGCGTCGCGTGGTTCGTGTCGCGTGCGACGGTTTCGTCCGTGACTGATTCGGTTTGCGCGGCGGTTCCGCCGTGCAGCGGTGTCGTTGTTGTGGGACTGGTTTATCTGCGCTCGGTATTGTCGTGGCGCGAGATGTCGCGTCCCATGGTCTCGTGACATCGCTGTGTTGTGCACATTGAGGACCGAGCAGGAAACAAATGCTGCAGGGCGTAACCGTTATACTTGGTTCTCTTTGTAATTGTTCTTTAAATCGAGTATCCAGGTCACTTGCCGAGCTGTGAAAGCGAGGAGTCTCAACTTACCCTTTTGCCTCTCTAAATTGAGTCTTTTCACGGAGCTGAGCTGCTATCATGACTCGTGTGACCAACATGTTGGTCATTTTATTTCTTTGCAGCTATGCGGATGATAGGATAGAAGGTCCTAGTAATAACCCACTTAGTAGTAACTAGAGTTGCAGGAGTAAATGAGTGTGCGTATGATTAAAATGCGCTACACGATGTTGAATGAACACGACGGTGTTTTGTGAGCCCACATTGCGTTTGTGTTATATGTTTTACAAATGGATGTTTTGCATGCGTCGAAAACACGCTTCATATTTACAGAAGCATTTTTATGCAAATGTTGCAGCCGAATGTTATTTGTGTTGCGTGCGCAAATGTGGCTCATGCCGTTAAGCGGTTCAATCGAGAGGCGGTGTTTTCCCGGCGCCGCTTTGCTGGTCCGAGCGCGGTGCGAGCTCGGCTGGACTGCCCATGCCGCCGGCAAAGCCACTGATAGTGGCCACCGCCACGGGTCCCCACGGTGAACGCTTATTTTAAGGCAGACGGCTCACGCTAGCGTGCGCTGTGTCACGATTCGAACCGGCTTGGTTTTGTTTATACGGCACTTAGAAGCAGAACGCGTTAACTTTGGATGCCACCCCGTAACAAGGTGGCGGGGCTCTGGGGCCTGCGCCGTCAGTAGCAGCGGCAGCGGCAGCGTCTTTATTACAGCGGAGCGGGCGCCCTCCTCGGAGGATCGCTTTTCACAATTATGTGCCTGACTGGCAGGCGACAAGCAGTGTTAGTGAAATGGCTTTCGAAAGCCTTCCAAATAAAGCCATCGCTTCCTAAACTGGGGGCTTAAGCCGGCAATCTGCAAATCGCTGCGCTGCGTCTGATGCTCTTTACAAGCTGTCGTGGCGCTGGGCCGCTTGAAGGCAGCTTGAAACCGGAGCCTGGAGCTGCGACGGGGCTCAGGGGAGTCCTCGAGAGGGGGAGCAGCGGTCTCGTGCGCGCCGAGCGCCGTCCCAGGCCAGCTGCCGCCCGGCCTGCGCCCGGCTCTTCCTTCCCCTCTTGCTGCCTCCCAGGAGGCTCCTCTGCACTGAGGGCTCGCTGATGGGGGTCCACTGCTCCGGCGGCGGCGGGCGCACCTTGCATAGTCGCGGCAGTTATACGGATACAAAAGTATAATTAGCAACGTTATGACGGTGTTCTGGGCGGCCCTATAGGGGCGGGTTTGGGGAGCAGCGGGCCTGTGCGGAATAGTTTGTGGTGGTGGGAGAGCATTAGTGTGTTGTTTGTGTGGTTTCTTATCCGACAGCAGATGGTGTATCCACATTTGTAAGAATTTCGGGTGTATGCCTGTTTGAGGTTTCTTTTGTTCTTTTTAAGTTAAATTCACCTGAAAATAATTCGGCAGTCCCCCATCAAAAACTAGAAGCAGACAAGCTTCAGAAAGACAAGTCTTGACTCACAAAATTACAACTCATATCTTATTTTTGCAAACTTGATCAAGTACTGGCACATCCTTAGCAAAACTTGGTCATTGGCTGTTTAAAAGAGAGATGCAGAATTGTTGTTATTTGTTCTCAATTTGCCAACTTTTTGGGGGAATAACAGAAATTCTGTTTACTATTATAATTAACCTCGTAAAACGAATTTAACACAAAGAGACACGTACTAATACCAGCGATCTGCAATGCTTCTTGTATCAAAAAAGACAAATGCGTAGATGAATATAATAATTTGTAACTATTTGTCAATGCAATGCTTGATGAAGGGCAGGGTTGGAGGGGGGGGGGGGCAAATGATGTAAGCTGGGAATCAAACTCAGGTCACCGGGTTCACAGTGCGGTGCGTGAACCACTGCATCACCATCACACTGGCTTCGTGGAGGGGACATTTACTGAAGCCTTCTCAATTACGCTCCCTTCCAAGCTGGTGAAAAGATAAAGTGGCATGTAATGAGTAAGGATTCCTTGTGGGGGGGGGGGGGTGGTTTAGCCTCTGTGTGATTTGCACGACTCAAAAAATCAGCCGGTTGTTTATTTGGGATGCGGCACTTGGTGTGGGCCATGCAGCCTGGAATGTCCCACTTTCCTGCCTTCCAGGATGCCTCACTCATCAGTTATTTACGAAGTGCTCTGTCTCACTCCTCCACCCCAATCCTTCCTCACCCCTCTGTTAATTATTTACCCAGCCCCCGTGCTAATTAAAATGTCACATCTCTCCGCACTCCCCTCCATATCTCCCGCTCTCGCTGTGGGATAACTACAGGGCAAGGATTCGCGTTCGCTCAAACGAACGGAGCCCAAGGAGAAGTACGGAGGGAAGCGTGGGATAAAAACTATATATATACAATAATATTAACAACCGTGGCACGGCAGAAATTGATATTTAGATGTTTAATAGTGGGAACGCTCTGCCGTGCAGCTTCTGCCATTTCGACAGGCAACCCGGTGCGTTGGGAAATGGTCTCAGCGTGATTGTTCCATTTATCTGGGTCCTTGTGAGGAGGTGGCACGTCTTTCAGTTGCATAAGTAGCGGAGACAGCATTTGTCTGAGATCCCCACTTGACCTCCTTAAGCGAAGGGCCTTGCGGGTTTCACATTACGCAGCGGTGTGATAATTACCGGCTGGTTTGTTATCGACAGCACGTTGAAGAGTGGGGTGGTGGAGGGGGGGGGGGGGCTTCGGGTGGGTGAGTGAGGGTGAGTGGGGGTGGGTGGGACGGGCAGGCTGTGGGAGGCAACCATGCGGCGGCGGTGGTGGGGCTGGCGATAGTCCTGGTTGGAGCTGGCCGAGAGGAGGAGGCCGACGAACTGGTGCCCCCTTGTGCCGGGTCGAGCCGCTCCTCGCGCCGTGTCCTTCGTGCCCATTCCAGCGCCCGCACCCTGCGTGTGCATGGCGTGCCCGCACCCTCGCTCGCTCCCCACGCCGGCGCTGCCGTGTGCAATTCGCGAGGAGCAGCAGATTCTACGGGCGTCTGGGACAGTTCGTGCATTTCGCACTTGAGTTGTAGCTGTGGCGTGATGAAGCTGAGCTGGGTGGCCTGTGTGCCAGGGGATTGCAGGAGGGGGATAAATGCGTTGGGTGGGGGGGGGCCTTGGGGAGAGTTGGGAAAAGCTCAGGGGCTGAGGGGGGTGGGCAGGAGAGAGAGAAGGGCTGAGGGAGGGGGGGGGGGGGCGGGCATGTCGACGAGAGTAGGCAGCGGTAAAAATTGCATCGCAGATAAATTTGCGTCTCCACCTCCACCCCCCACCTCGGAAGCACCCCCGAAGTGGGTAATAGATTCTGAAATTTCATTTTGCGACTGGCTGATTTAATGATCCGAGGGGTAATTAATGGGCTGATTACCTTAATGTTAAATATGTCCGGCAGCGATCTGGACGACCTCTTGCGTGTCGAGGTCCCCGGCGAACGCGCCGTTCAATTAAAGTCCCCTCCAGGGCAGGACGGAATGACTGAAGCGGCGACACCGGCAACGGTAATAAAACATAACGCCGGGGCCCCCATTTCCCCGGCACGCCGGCAAAGCGTGGCGCGGCGGTAATAGCGGGCAAATCATTTGCTGTTTCACGCCCGCCGGCCATGGCTGATCCATTGCAGCCGCGGAGAGATCGCACTGTAGCACCGTCATTATTTTTACGTGCTATTAATTATCGAAAGAATGTCACGATTCCTCTGTTCATTTCTTGTGCGCAGACCTCAAACCTCCCCCCTCCCCTGATGGACCTAATTAATTGCGAGGAATTCGCGACATTACAGCGTTGCTAATTTGCCTGCCCCGCCGTCTTTTCCACGGCAAGTTTGCTTCATCAGCCTTTTGTAGCAGGGCTGGGGCCCATCCAGTGAACCCCCCCCACCCGATCCCCGCCCCTCATCCCCACCTCACAGACACTCTCCTCCAGTTCCCGCATGAGGTGGACAAAATTGAGCTTTAATCTTAATTTCCCTCTCTGGCTGAAATTAAGTGCAAAGTGCGCACCTCCTTGGTCCGAACGCAGAGCGGTAATTTGTAGCTCAGCTTTGAGTGCGAGTTAGAGCCAACTTAATTCAGAACGTCTTTAGCTTTTGTGTGTTTGTGTGCCGGTTAAGGTTCGCTGTCACCCGTAATGAATTTTAACTAGTTCTTGCATTGCTCGGGTTAAGTGCTCGGCACGTCTGATTTTGAAAGCCAGGCAGGCATATTGCTTTTGCGGTTTCACACACGCAAGTAAAAATGATTAAATCAGACGCTAATTTAATTGCTCCATTGATTTGCATAAAACAGGAAATAATTACAACAGCAATGTAGCCTGCAAATCATCCACCACCCTTCGAACTGATTTTTTTTTAAATAACAGCATTTTTTCCGGGAGAAATAGCTGTCATAATTTATAATTAGTGTCCCAAGGCTGTCATCTCTAATTGATTCTAATATCAGGTCCTCTCTGCGACGGCAGTGCTCATTGATTATGCATTAAATCAGATGTAAAATTTAAACAAGATGATCCCAACAGTGACTAAGCGCATTATTATTGCTACTACTACAATGACAGAGAAGCTCATTTTGACAAATTACAAGCGCCAAGCACAAAACTGGTTTGGTTATTCTTCAACAGCAGGCAAGCCAGAAACAACAACAACAACAGCATCAAATGCCACAACAACAACCCAGGCAACAACTGCATGACCTCCAGTACCTCCATTG